TTAAGTCAAGTTTATTGAGGTGAAATTTACACAAACACAACCCTGTTAGGTGTGCAGATCTGAGTTTTAACAAATGTAAACTCTCATGTAACCGCCAACACAGTCAAGATAGGGAATATTTTCATAATTCAAAAAAGTCCTTTGTGCCTGTCTGTAGTCATTCCTCTACCCAACCCATTCCCAGTCCCTAGCAACCAGTATCTGATTTTCATCACTAAAGTTTTGCCTTTTCCAGAATATTAGGTAAATGGAATTATACAGTATATGTAGCTTTTGTGTCTGGGTTTTGTTTTTTTTGTTTCTTTGTGTGTTTTTTTTTTTTACATAAACTAATGCTTTTGAGATTAATTCATGTTATTGTGTGCATTAGTATTATAGTAGTTCATTCCTTTTTATTGCCGAGTAGTATTCCATTTTATAGATACATAGCAATCAGTTTGTTTATCCATTCACCAGTTGATAAACATTGGGTTGTATTCAGTTTTTGGTGATTATGAATAGTGTTACTATTAACATTTGCAAGCACGTCTTTGTGTAGACCTATGTTTTTATTTTTATTGTGTAAATACCTAGAAGTGAGTCATATAAGTGTAATATTAATATTTAAATTTATAAAACCTTATAAAAACGACTCATGTGATTATACCATTTTGCATTCCCACCAGTGGTGTGTCAGAGTTTTCCAGTTGCACCACTTTGAGTTGCCAGCCCTGGGTTTGCCAGAGTTGTTTTATTTTGAATTTTAGCCATTTTTATAGGTGTATAGTAGCATCCTGGTTTCAGTTTCCTTAATGGCTAATGCTGTTCTGATGTTGAGTTTCTTTTCATATGCTTATTTGCCACCTGTATTTCTTCTTTGGTGAAATGCCTTTTTTTTTTTTTTCCTTATTGGGTTGCTTGTTTTCTTATTATTGAGTTGTGAGAGTTCTTTATATATTCTGAACACAAGTCCTTCATCAGATGTATGATTTTCAAATATTTTCTCCAAGTCTGTGGCTTGTCTTGTCATTGTCTTAACAGTTTCTTTTGAACAGAAGTTTTTAATTTTGATAAAGTCCATTTTCTCAAGTTTTCCTTTTATGGTTCATACTTTTCGTGTCCTAAGAAATCTTTGTTTCCTAAGATCACAGAGAGTTCTCCTATGTTTTCTCTGTAAGTTTTATAGTGTTAGGGTACATTTACGTCTGCACTCCATGTTGAGTTAATTTTTACATATGATGTGAAATACTAGTTGAGATTCATGTTCTTGCATATGGTTTTCAGGTTAATTGTTCTACACCATTTGTTCCTTTATTACTTTTCTGTAGTGCATTACCTTGACAACTTTATTGAAAATCACTTGGCCATATATGTGTGCATCTTGTTTCTGGACTCTATACTGTCCATTGATTTGTGTATCTGCCTTTTCATTAATACCACAATATTTTGATTGCTTTACCTGAAACTACATTTATTTTAGAGCTGATTGTGGTGTCTGTTATGAATGCTGTTGGTAGCAAGGAAGAAAAAACCCTTCTAATAGAGGGTTTATTTTTCTGCTATAACAGGAAGTCTGGATATAAGCAGTTGCTAGTTTGTTTAAGTTACTCACCTATACTAAAGTCAACAAACTGTACCCTACTGGTGTATGCTGGCCTGCCACCTGTTTCCGTAAATAAAGTTTAATTGGAACATAGCCCTGTTTGTTTGTTTACAATGTTTATGGTGGCTTTCCTGCTACAAAGTCTGAGTTCAGTAGTTGCAACAGACACTATATGTATATGGCATGCAAAGCCTAAAGTGTTTATTGTGTAGCCCTTTATAGAATAAGTTTTTTAACTCCTGATCTGTATCATTAATGACCCAATTTCTTTCATCCATTAATTCATTTTTGGCTTATTGACTTTTCTTACGTCACCTCATTGTCATCGGATGTTCAACATGGTTCCATATTCATATTCCAAGACAAGAAGAAAAGGGATAAGGAGATGGCACTAGTCAATGTTTGTTTCTTTTATTGAGAAAAGCAACAGTCTTCCAGAAGCCTCCCCAGCCAACTTCTGTTTATATCTCAATCGCTAAAATTGTTATATGGTAAACCATAACTGTAAAAGAGGTTGAAAACTGAATACTGACTTTCCTAGACTCTCTAGTGGAAGTAGGCAAATGCCAAGTCTCAGCCAGTCCTTTTATCATGACATGCCATTGATATTAGAAATTAAATGAACTATGTAAGTTCCTAGTCCAGTAATTCTCAAACTGTATTGCATAAGAACATCTCAGGGGATGCTTGTTTAAAATGTAGATTCTTGGTGCCCATCAACAGAGTTTTTCTTAGATGGAGCTAAAGGATGTACATTTTCAGAAAATGCCACAGATCATTTTGATGCCTGCGCGGACCTTCTGAAAAATAACACAATGGCATTTTAGTTGGGATTTTTGATGTGGGGCAGTGTTTTTTGTTCCTGGTTGTATTATCAAAATTGCCTGTGGAGGTTCTTAAAAATGCATATGCCCAGGCTTTCTCTGGGAAACTGATTTATTTGTGGAGGTGGAAGGTGAAGGACAGAGGGAAGAACAAGTATTTGAATTTTAGCTTACTAGTAATACTGGTGATTCTGTTGCACAGCCATGGTTAACAATCATTAATCTATGATTGTCAGAGTGCGGTCCCCAGACTAGCAGCCTTGCTGTCTCCTGGAAACTTTTTAGAAATGCAAATTATCAGGCCCCACCCAAGACTTGCTCAATGGGCAACTCAGGTAGGGCCCAACTGTCTGTTTCAACAAGCTCTCCAGGTGATTGTATTGCAAACCAAAGTTTAAGAACCATGAAAGGCATTGCTGACTGTTTCCAGCTTTGCCTAGACAAAATTAATTGACTGTCACCACAAAACTTAATTGATTAAAGTATGTGTACTCCTACATTGTAATGCAGTAATTTTGGAATTGGATTGAACATTCACAAATGATCTACTACAGTAATTGCTGTGTACTGTATTTGACCTAATTATCCAAGACATTTGTTAAGTTACTATTTTTAAACAGCTCTTGATAATCAACAGTTTTGTGTTTACACATTACTTTTTCCTAGCTTTTAAGGAAGAGTTAAGGAAATTGAATACAGTTCTTATATTTATAAAATTTATAAACTAGGGAAGGTAAGGTAAAAATGCATGAACACAAAAGATAAACGTATAAACCTGTTTTCTTTCAGAGTTAGCTATATTTCTGTGATTGGTGAATATATTACAATGTAGACAACCTATCTAACATAAATTGGATATACTTAGCTCATATCCCAAAGAGCAAAAGAGTACTTCATAGGATGTAAAATATGTCTTTCTTCAATTCAGTTTGCCTTCCCAATTGTAATTATTAATTGCTTCAACATGGGCTCTAATATCTTCTCTCCATTGGATTATAGGAAGCTGTAACTCTCCTATATGTTTTTTCTCCTTACCCTTGAAAAAGTTAGTTTAGATTCATTTGGGCTATCTTTTGCTTACTCCAGGTGATACAGTATTTCTTCTCTAGTTTTGAGAAAAGAAGTTAATTGGAACAAAGCTCTGGTTTGATATTTAGATACCTAAAAAGCTTTTTAGGCCAGGCACAGGAACATGTGCCTATACTCCTAGCTACTTGGGGAGACGGAGGCAGTAAAATCACTTGAGCCCAGGAGTTCAAATCCAGCCTGGGCACATAATGAGACCCTGTCTTTAAGAACAAAAAAAGTTTTAAAGCAGAACTTCTGAAAAAAGAAATTCAGTTGCAGTTGTGGTGTGTAGAATCAGGCTTAACAAAGAGTTAAAATTACTAGACCCATTTGTAGTTTCATTAGCAATAACTCCAAATATAAAATGAAGTTCACAGAAACAAAAGTTGTCATTGAGGCAAGAGGCCTTTATTTCCAAGGCAAGAGTAGTTTGAAGAGTGAGGATTTCCTTGGTAAAATGTTGGCAAAAAAGACTTGACTGTTTCTCAGTCATAATTTACAGCCCCAAGAGACTTGAAGTTTATAGAGTTATGAAAACTCAAAATAATAAAAATGTTTTAACTGGAATTCTTGGTAGCCCAGAGGTACCTCTATTGCTGGAATTTTGCTTCCTGTGTTAATTTTACTGCGTAGACCTCATTGTTAAAGATGGTTTCATAGCCCCACCCATTTTAACTTTTTGTCAGATTTTAGTCTTCAGAAAGTCTTCTAAGTCCATCCCCCTCTTTTTCTCATGACTTCCTTTTTCTAACTAAATTCTTTCATTAATTTTTCTAGTATTTCTTGAATAAGCATTAGTGGTAGTGCTGGATCACTTGTCATTTGTCATTTTCCTTAGCATTGGGCAGTCTCCACTTGATTTTACACTCATTTACTTGTTGAGCAACTAATAATAAGCCATCATGACTCTAAAAAAAAACTAACTTGCCATTATTCAAATAGAGTGCTTTTATTCTTTAGGACTGTTTTATACATCTCATCTTCATTTAAGTTTCTCAGAAATTTAAGAGAACTTGTTAATTTCAGAGAAGTATCACTCAGAAATAAAGGAGACTTAGAGCATGAGTGGTAAAATAAATGTGGAAATTTATTACCTAATAGATATGTTTCTTTTGATAACTTTTGGAAGCAAGCACATTTTTCCTCTGTTCTTAAGGGTAAGAGAAGCTGCTAAAGATATTTCTCTTAAAAGTATTATTTCCCATCAGACAAATAAAATTACAAATATTTTAATTGTTGGTAGTTTAGGACATTGTAGGAAACTTTAATAACATTGGCAGGCTATCACATGTATTTCTGAGTATTAGTCTCAATTTCACTATGTACTTTTTCATGAAAAACTATGAATTAAGAGAGCAGCTACAGCGCTTATTTGTTGCAGATCTTGATTTATTCTATTTTGAAAAAACATTCAGATACCTTTATCAAAAGAAATGCTAATGATTACTTTTAGAATGTGGACCCATTTTAATCAGTACTGGCCTCTCTTTCTCACTTTGCTGATTGCTTGTATTTATGACCTTTAGATTGTAGGGAATGGAAGTGAACAACAGCTGCAAAAAGAGCTAGCAGATGTGCTGATGGATCCTCCAATGGACGACCAGCCAGGGGACAAGGAGCTTGTGAAAAGGTCACAACTGGATGGTGAAGGAGATGGGCCGCTTTCTAGTCAGCTCTCAGCTTCGTCTACCATTAACCCTGTGCCATTAGTAGGGCTCCAAAAACCAGAGATGAGCCTGCCAGTGAAACCTGGACAAGGAGGTTAGGATTGCTGCATTGCTTGAATAACTGAAGGTTATTGTTTTTAATATTTGAGTGTCCACCCTATACCAGGTTTGGTTCAGAGCAAACATAAACCATTATCTGTATTCTTAAAAATCTCCAGATTTTTTATTTTAGGATGGAAAATATTAAGGGATGGAAATATTAAGGGATGGAAAATATTTTAGGATGGAAAAATACTAAATGTGTATTTCACCTAAATGTAAATTTATAAAGTCAAGACAAATTAGAAGCAGAAAAGTAAATCAGATCTGAATCTGATTGGGATTGACTCTATAGCAATACAGGTTGAGGAGCTCTTATCTGAAATGCTTGGGACCAGAAGTGTTTCAGATTTCAGATTTGTTTTCGATTTTGGAATATTTACATTACACTTACTGGTTAAGCATCCCAAATTCAGAAATTTGGAATCTCCAATGCTCTGGTGATCATTTCCTTTGAGCATATGTGGGCACTTAAAAAGTTTTGGATTTTGGATTCTTGAATAGATTCTTAAATTTGAGATACCCAATCTATACCTAAATCTTGATGTTTATGACAGAGTTCTGTGTGAGATTTCTGGTTTCATGGGCATTTCTTGTGGGATATAGCAGATTATGTCATTATTACTTAACTTTAGAACCTAAATGTTACTTGCAGATTTTTACTTGCTTTTCATATATCAGCAAAATATCAGGGTGAAGATAATCATTTCCTCCTTTCAGATTCTGAAGTGTCAAGCCCTTTCACACCAGTAGCAGATGAGGACAGCGTAGTTTTCAGTAAATTAACTTATTTAGGCTGTGCCTCAGTAAATGCTCCTCGGAGTGAAGTGGAAGCCTTAAGGATGATGTCCATCTTAAGAAGCCAATGTCAGATTTCACTAGATGTAACCCTCTCAGTGCCGAATGTATCTGAAGGAATCGTAAGGTGAGACCAGCTTCTTGAAATATTTTTTTAAATTGCGTCAGATCTCCGACTTGCTGTTTTAGAAGGAAGTAGTAGTGCATAAAATACATAGTTATTTTATTCATGTTTAATTTATCTGGCACTCATGTCTTCCAAAGATTGTGACTTTCATGAAAAATGGTCACTCATTTGTAAGTTTTTTATACTCTCCACACTCTAATCATGGGTAGCACATTAGAAATTTAAATGTTTTGAGAGTAAATGAAATGTATTGACCTGAGAGTCTGCCTGACAAATTAATTTATATTTTCTATGTTCTTTCAGTGAAAATACTGGCTGGACATATTAGTTCAAAATGGCATTTCATGTTGATTTTGGAAATTACAAAAATTTATTGGTAAATGTTAATTATGCCAGTGCAGTCCCTTAAATTTTTTTTTTTTTTCTTTTTGAGACAGTCTCACTCTGTTGCCCTGGCCAGAGTGCCATGGCATCAGCCTAGCTCACAGCAACCTCAAACTCCTGGGCTCAAGGGATCCTCCTGCCTCAGCCTCCCCGAGTAGCTAGGACTACAGGCATGTGCCACCATGCCTGGCTAATTTTTTCTATATATATTTTTAGTTGTCCAGTTAATTTCTTTCTATTTTTAGTAGAAATGGGGTCTCACTCTTGCTCAGGCAGGTGTCGTACTCCTGAGCTCAAAGGATCCACTTGCCTTGGCCTCCTAGAGTGCTAGGATTACAGGTGTGAGCCACCGTGTGACCAGCCAGTCCCTTAATTTTTTTTTCTTTTTTTGAGACAGAGTCTCACTTTGTTGCCCAGGCTAGAGTGAGTACCGTGGCATCAGCCTATCTCACAGCACCTTCAAACTCCTGGGCTCAAGCGATCCTTCTGCCTCAGCCTCCCGAGTAGCTGGGACTACAGACATGCGCCACCATGCCCGGCTAATTTTTTCTATATATATTAGTTGGCCAATTAATTTCTATTTTATAGTGGAGACGGAGTCTTACTCTTGCTCAGGTTGGTTTCAAACTCCTGAACTCAAACGATCTGCCCTCCTCGGCCTCCCAGAGAGCTAGAATTACAGGCGTGAGCCACCACGCCCGGCCCAGTCCCTTAATTTTTAAGATGAGAAAACTGAAGCAAAGAGTAGCCTCTAGAACTGGCTATTGTTTATACTAACTAGAACAAATAACACCAGTTATGGATAACCAGTCAGATATCTGTATCAACCAGCTAATGCAGAATTGCTAAATAATCTGTTGAATGCAGCTAAAATAAAATAACTTTTTTCCCCTTTTACTAAAAATACATACTTATTTCAAAAAAATTGAAACACAAAAAAATTTTTTTTTAATTCCCTTAATTCTACATGTCTATTAATACAGTTTACACCTTGGCTTATTAAAGTCCTATTTGTGTATTTATATGTATACATGTCCATCTGTGTGTATGTACCTACATGTGTATGTATATAATTATACAACTCTTAGAATCAACATTTTTAAACAGCAATGGAATTATATTATACAGACCATCTTGTAATATACTTTCTTCATTTAGTTTTATTTTGTAAACCTTTCCATATCAAATATGATTAAAAATTTTAATTTATGGTGGCACATGAATGGGTTGTAGATAAATAACCTATCTCTTAAGGTTTTTTCTTTTAATAATAAAAGCACTAATACTAATAGCTAATCCTAATTATTATATGGACACAAAAGTGCTTTATAAATGGGTATCTTTAAGCTCAATCTTTGTGGGCTGGTTTTTATTTCCTTAGGATAAATTCCTGGAAGTAGATTTACTGGGTCAAAGGTTGGCCCATTTTTATTGTTTTTGATACCTTGTTAAGTATCCATCTGGAAATATTGGTCCATTTTACATTTTTATTCACAGTATGTAGAGTATCTGTTTCTCAGTATCCTCAGAAGCTGTTCGAACTTTTAAGTTAAATAGTTAATCTGCCTATGTGAATTTTCTCTTAGAGTCTTTAAAGAACTGTTTCACAAAGACTCACAAATTGTATTTAACTCATATTCTAAATATTTCTTATTCAGTACTTACTCCACAACTGAAGTTACTTTGTTCTAATATATTTTAATTCTGTAAAAGAAGAAAACTAGTCTGCCTTGCTGCATATTTTCAGAGTTTTATGAAAGTGCTTTTGAACCTGAGTTAGATCCCCTTCCTATGTATTTTCATTATGAGCAGGGCCCTCTAGGCTTTCCCCATCAATGGCTTTGCCAAATGTAGTATTGAAATTGCATCATTTGTTTTTTTTTTTTTTTTTTTTTTTTTTTTTTTTTTTTTGTTGCCCAGGCTTTGATGAGATATCTTATCACTATCTCCCCAAAGCGATCCTTCTGTCTCAGCCTCCCGAGTAGCTGGGACTACAGGCATGCGCCACCATGCCCGGCTAATTTTTTATATATATATCAGTTGGCCAATTAGTTTCTTTCTATTTATAGTAGAGACGGGGTCTCGCTCTTGCTCAGGCTGGTTTTGAACTCCTGACCTTGAGCAATCCGCCCGCCTCAGCCTCCCAGAAAGCTAGGATTACAGGCGTGAGCCACCGCGCCCGGCCTGCATCATTTGTTTTTTTTACAACTTTCATAGGTGTGTCCTTAGTGCCCTGAACAGAGTCTACAGTGTTGTAGATATGACATAAATATTTGTTGAAGAAGTAGATTTTGAAATGAATTATATCTCTTTAATTTTTACTGAAAGACATCTTTTTGATTTTATTTATGGTCTTTTTTTTTTTTCTTGAGAGGTTAGCATTTTGTATAATCTCTCTTCCCTTATTTGCTATGAATCAAAAAATACATGTTTCACACTGAAAAGGAGCATGAGTTTTTTGTTTTTATTTTTTTAAAGAGCAGATTAGGACATTCTCTTAGGAGATAATCAGAAGCACAGCTTTAATGATCTATTTTGGTAGTCTAATTTACCCATTAATCTTTATTTAGTTACAGGCTGTATAAAAAATATGCTTATCGATATTGTTCATGTTTCTGCTTACCTCTCCAAAACGTGGGACTATGTAGTTTTCAGTAGCATGGAATTATGTTATCAGTAACTTCTGGAATCCACATATGACCTATTTATTAAAATTTAAAATTATGATTAGCATACCAAATACAGCCTGTATGATCATCTTGGTAGAAAGATGAGTCTCAAATACTAATATGAATAATAGTGCAGGGTGTTCAAAATTCCTCTAATCTCTTTATATCCTGTTTTTTTGGAACAGACTCTTAGATCCTCAGACAAACACTGAAATAGCAAACTACCCTATCTACAAAATTCTCTTCTGTGTCAGAGGCCATGATGGAACTCCTGAAAGTGACTGTTTTGCTTTCACTGAAAGTCATTACAATGCAGAGCTCTTCAGAATACATGTCTTCCGGTGTGAAATACAAGAAGCTGTAAGTCTTCAAGAGAAAACTGTCTGCAAACAAAACTTCACCTGTGCCCTCACTATGTTGAAAAATGTTTAGAGTATTTATTATGGTCACTCATAAGCCATATGAAATTCTCTGCTAATGCTTTGGTGATTCCAACCTGATGGGCTGAATTATATTAGGTTATTAAATATGAAATGTCCGATTTTGAATAAAAAGTTTAGTTTATTATATCTAAAACAAGAAGTAGTACAATTAAAGTATGTGCCTAAAGTATCGACACAGTTCTGCCGTCTTAATGATAGTTTTGCTCATGCCAGCAGCAGAGAAGCCTGGAGAGTGATTGGCGATGAAATCATGAAAGGCATTTTCCCCAGCTTGTTGAGAATTGAGTATTTTTCCTTGCAAGAACTGGTCCAACACCTGGAAGAAGCTGTAGTCAGTTGATGCAAGGTCTGGTGAATATAGTGGCAGACAAGAGTCTACAAGAAGTCCAGCTTCTATAGTTTGAGCAGCGTTGATTTTTTGCAACATAGGTCTTGTGAGAGGATTGGCCTGTCTCTATTGACCAATTTCAGCTGCTGCTTCTCAAACATCCTCATCATTTTGTCCAGCTGGTTGTGGTAGGCATGTGCTGTAATAGATTGACCAGATTTCATGAAGCTGTAGTTGATAGTACCAGCACTGAACCACCAAACAGACACCAGTAGCTTTTTTTGATGAATATTCAGTTTTGAACTGTTTCAGCACTTCATCTTTATCCAGCCATTGTGCTGAATGCTGGTGATTGTCAAAATAATCCATTTTTCATCATATGTAATAATGTGGTGTAGATGGTTCACCCTTATGTCGTGACAGCAAAGAAAGGCAAGCTTCGAGATGATTTCTCTTCTGATGCTTGTTTAATTCATGCCGTACCCATGTATCCAGCTACTTACGTTGCCAATTTGTTTCAAATGGTCCAGTATTGTTGGAATAGCAATGTCAGACCTTTCTGCTAATTCACGTGTGGGTTGAGATGGATTTACTTCTACTATAGCTTTCGGGTCATCATTATCCACCTTGGTCTCAGGTCACCCACATGGCTTATTTACAAGGTTAAAATAACCAGAATGGAACTTCTCAAACCGTTGATATACATGCATCCATTAGCCACATCCTTCCCAAACACTTCATGATATTTCAAGCTGGCCATTTGCATTAGTTCCATGACAGAATTCATATTAAAAAAATAACACGAATTTTTGACTTATCCATGGTTTCACAAAAATTGCTCAAAAAAAATTTTTTTTGAAAGATAATCACAAGCCAAAATGTGCATTTGAAAGAATGAGGATCTTCCTTCACAATTAAAAAAAAAAAACCACATCTGTAATCCAAGCACTCTGGGAGGCCAATGGGGGCGGATTGCTCGAGGTCAGGAGTTCTAAACCAGCCTGAGCGAGACCCCGTCTCTACCAAAAATAGAAAGAAATTAATTGACCAACTAAAAATATATATACAAAAAATTAGCCAGGCATGCTGGCGCATGCCTATAGTCCCAGCTGCTTAGGAGGCTGAGGCAGTAGGATTGGTTGAGCCCAGAAGATTAAGGTGCTGTGAGCTAGGCTGATGCCACTGCACTCACTCTAGCCTGGGCAACAAAGTGAGACTCTGTCCTAAAAAAGTAAATAAATAAAAAACCAAGAAGTATCAAAGTGAAATGTCAGGAATATCAACTGCCAAACTTAGTACTTAAGGAAATCGGACATTCCATACTTAATAGCATAATAAATAAAACTAAAAGTTTGATTTAGCAGCAATAACAAAATTCCGATTAGAGTGTCAGAGGAGAATAATTGGTTACTTCTTTATTGGATTTGATAGGCATCCTCATTCTAACAGTGGCACATTTGCAAACCATTCTTTTAGAGCTAAACTTGTTAGGACTGTTTTTATTATAAATAGTATGTTCAGATAGTTTTTAACAGTTTAGGAAATGATTTCTCATTTGAATTTCTAGTGTTTACAATCATTGCTTTTTTAAAACCCCTTTTCTGGCCATTTTTAGTGTTGCTTGCTTTATAGGCCTAACAAATTACATAATGTTACCAAAAGAAATAAATGGGGGGAAGATGAATATCCCTCCCCCAAAGTATGTAACCTTCCAGCTTTAATAAAGTATTTTTTATCTTGTAACAGCCCATTTCCTAACATGTCTGGTTGTAGGTAAGCCGGATACTTTACAGTTTTGCCACTGCCTTCCGCCGTTCTGCAAAGCAGACCCCACTGTCAGCCACTGCTGCACCCCAGACTCCTGACAGTGACATCTTTACCTTCTCTGTGTCATTAGAAATAAAAGAAGATGATGGTAAAGGTTATTTTAGGTAGGGCATCTTATTTTATTCACTTTTTTTGAGTTTATATTAGCATGCTATATTATCTGTGGTTCAAGGGAAACTCTAGGTCAGATTATATAACTTTCATACCATAAAATGATTATTTTTATAGGGAGTCCTTTTAAAATTTAATACAGTGATAAAGGAAAAGAAGTAAATTTACAGAGGCAAAGTTTGAGGAATTTTAAAGCAATAAAAACATCTTCACATGGGAAACATTACTACCTTCTTTTAGTAAAACTCAAAGTAGCTGGCTGACTACTCATAAGAAATATGGCCAAAGCTAAGTTAGCTGGATTTGTTGCTTTGTTTTCTGATTTTGTTTGTTTTTGTTGTTTTAATAATCTACATATCTGAAGGCTTTTGAAATCAAGTTTTAACAATAAAGTGTATCTGAACACGCTGGAATGAGGTCTGTTTCTGAAGTCTAATCTTCTATATAGAATTAGAAATAACTGATTTTGGTTTTTTAGTAAAATGATAATTCTTTGAATGGTAAAAAGAATCCTAGTATAGAAATCAAAACTTAGGTTTAGTTTAATTATTGCTATATTTAACAATGTGAACTTTTCCAAGTTTCTTTATATCTGGCTTTTAAATTTAAGAAAAAAGAGTAAGGACTCATTCGTTAGGAAAACTGATAACTCTTGGTCTCCTTTCAGACTTTGGAATTGTCATGCCATCTGGTGGCCAATTTAGTGTGCAGTACAGATTCAACTTTGATTTGAGGCGTAAAATATGAGTCATTGTGCTCTGCTTTCTCATTAGATACATTTCTATTCTCAAAGCAATACTGTAAGCTAGTTCTTCCTACAGTATGCATTCCCTCCCTGGGAAGTGGGAATTATAATCTATGTACTTTCAAACAATTATTTTCCTTTTTAAAAAACAAAAGTTTCTTTAAACTTTTTTTGCTTTATTAAACATATTTATGTAGGTCTTATCTGTATGTTCTGATTATGAATAGGAAAGATTAAAATCTCTCCAAAGAGAAGTGCTAGGATAACTTTTCTTCTTTCTTAGATCAGGCATATTCAATGTGAAATGATCATAAACATCCTGTTCTATATGTCCTCATAGCAAGGTGATGCTATTACAGAAAATCCCTGGATGTTCACATTTGCTTTTCACATTTGTTAAGGCTTTGCTCTTTTTTTGCTACATGGTTTTACTGAATTTGTAATTTATAATAAATACTGTTGTGTTAACTTAATATAGTGATGAATTGATATTCCTTTGTCAGATTTGAACTTGTCAAATGCAGTTCCTTTTATGCAGTAATTCTATAAAATGTATGGGAATTTATCTACCTAAATAATCATTGAGATGTTCAAAGAATTATCAACATGTATGTTCTCCTTCATACTATATATAATAGTGAAATTAAAAAATAGAAATTAAATATTAGGGGAGTTGAAATATGGTATACCCATACAACTTATCACCAACCAAGAGATATTTATTTGTATGTGTAATTAACTATAGCACCACATTGATTGTGATTTTACCATAACACAAATATAGACAGTGTAGTGGGGAGAATTAATGTTCTTCTTCTCATTCCTGAAAAAGTATAACTCTTACATATTATAATTTGAAACCTGCTTCTCAGGTTAGCTCTTAGGAAGATAGAGCATTTTTATTTATACCATTCAAATCACTTGTGTTTTGTTTTATTTAATCTTACCACGCAGCTCCATGAGATGAATTGGGTAGTTGATGTTGTGCTTATTTTATAGGTAAATACAGGGAAATTAAGCTTGGACCTCAGTTTCTAAATTTATGTAGTAGGAATTAAATATTAAATTCCCCACACAGGTCCATTCAGTGACATAGTTACAGGACCAGAAATATAATCTAGGCCTCTGCCATTCAGTGAGATGAACATCCATTCATTATACTCTCCACTCTGCTCCCTGTTAATACAGCTCTGTAAATTCAAGATAACTTTATATCTGTGATGAGCTTATATTTATTTATACTTTAGCATCCACAGAGCATAGAGACCAGTGTATCTCTCACCAGTTGAAAATTCAGACTCATCCATCTCCTTATAGGTGAAAATTCTGTAAGCCACAAATATTTAAAAGTTTGGTGTGTAGTTTTCTTTGAACATGTCTGTCATTTTGAGACTCCTTTGCTAAAATTCTTTGATTTTCTAATCTAAGTGTTATAAAATATTCTTCAATTGGTTATAAGTGCAGAAAGGATTCAAACTCATATTTCTTCAGAGCTACTTTTTAGTTTGAATAGGTACTCAGAGCTTTCGTCTAGCCATGTATAGTGTCTACTAATGGTTCTATGGCCATTATCTTAAAGTTGTACAGAAATAAGATACAATTTACATTTATGGCTGGTTGGCTGATTGCCAGAGGCAGATGTTTTTACCTTTGAGAACAAAGGAGCTAGAGAAAATGGTGTGTGTGAAACTAGAGGATTATTTTGGTACACTGGCATTTTAGGAATATTTTCTTTCAACATTTTTATGAAACTTATATTCATTAACTGTATCATTAGTATTTTATACCTATTACACAGGTTTATAGTAAAATTATCACTGTATAGGGGAAGTGGTGTGGCTTATTGTTGGCCATATCTTCCTTCTATTATTTTTTTTTTTTTTTTTTTTTTTTGAGACAGAGTCTCACTTTGTTGTCCAGGCTAGAGTGAGTGCCGTGGCGTCAGCCTAGCTCACAGCAACCTCAAACTCCTGGGCTCGAGTGATCCTTCTGCCTCAGCCTCCCGAGTAGCTGGGACTACAGGCATATGCCACTATGCCCGGCTAATTTTTTACATATATATATCAGTTGGCCAATTAATTTCTTTCTGTTTATAGTAGAGACGGGGTCTCGCTCTTGCTCAGGCTGGTTTTGAACTCCTGACCTTGAGCAATCCGCCTGCCTCGGCCTCCCAAGAGCTAGGATTACAGGCGTGAGCCACAGCGCCCGGCCCCTTCTATTATTTTTTAAAGATATCTTGTTTTGAAACTCAGAGGATCTGTGATTAAGTATCTTTTTCTTCATTATTTATTTAAACAAATGTAATAATTTATTTGTGTAAACCAGTTACCAAATATAAAGGAAACAAAATAAACATTTTTTTGAGTTCTGTATGCCAGATGCCATGCTAGATAGTTTAAAAACATCTAGTGTAATTTTGACAGCAACAAAAGGGAAAAACTAAAGCGACATTTTAGGGGGTGTAGCAGTGGTTTTGTTAGCTTTTATAAATGCTTTAAAAGCTTACCTGCAAATATCTACTGATATTTTCACATTAGGAAACACATAATGATTTTTTTTCTTTTTTGTTATTATTTGAAAACCAGGCACAGAAAAGAATCAGAGATTTGAGGTCTTTGTTTAAAAAAATTGTTCTAGTATGTGACAAGACAATACTTTGCAAAATTAATGAAACATGTTGGTCTACAGTGCAGTTCCCAAAGATAAGGACAGACAATGCTTTAAACTGCGCCAAGGAATTGATAAGAAGATTGTCATCTATGTGCAACAAACAACTAACAAAGAACTTGCCATTGAAAGGTAAGCATATTTAGTAAGTTTAGCTTAAATATAAATTTTGGTTTTTATCAATCTAAGGGAGTAGTCATACAGTATTCAAAAATGTATTTGCAGCATATTTTGTTCCCTAGGAAATTCTTTTGTTTATTGAGGTCAATGCTGCTTTACTTTGAAATAGCTCCTGTAAGTGTTCAGTTAGTATGCTAACTTCATCTATGTGGTAATAAAAGGCAAACAGAATTTGCTTATCTCAAATAAGGATGATTATTTTGGCAACACTAATTTATTGATAATTCTAGTAAGTGACCTTTTTTACTATTAGTAAGAATTTTTTTAAAAAGTAGCCTATTTTAAACTTTTCTTGTGTTATCTTTTTTTCCAAATTTATGTCAGTTCTTTTTTTACAGGTGTTTTGGTCTTCTCCTTAGTCCAGGAAAAGATGTCCGAAATAGTGACATGCACTTGTTAGATTTGGTAAGGGTTTCTTTTTGCTGGAAAGTTATACATTGTTTCCTCATTAAAGGTTGTTTCACTTTATTGCATCTAAATCTAATGTTGAAACATGTTTATGAAGGTGTTCTTATAAGGTATAAAACAATATACAAAGATAAGAAAATTTCCTTATTCCTGACTTACTATTTACAAGTCTGACCTTGGATAAGCCTCGGTGTCTTAACTATGAAGTGGTGACAGTTCTTCGTACTATTGAGTAAGGTTAATGTGAGAATCAAAGAGAAAATTTATCAGAGAATTCTTGGCAAACTGTCGTGTGCTTTACCAGCAGTAGATGGTATTAGTATTATTGCTACTATATGAAAATCTATTTTCAAAACTAAATATGTGGTACTTATTCACTTGACAAAAGAATTCAACAGAGGAGTTAGGTAGTCAATTCCCCTAATGTTTATACAATTTGATATGATTTATAAGCACTTACTTTATATATTACTTCAGGAACAATTGCATATATAATTGACACATCTTTTGTTTTTGTTTTTTGGGGATTTTTTCATTTGTTTTTTCAGATGGAACAAGACTCTTGCCCAGGAAGGCAGTGACACAGTCATAGCTCACTGCAGCCTCAAACTCCTGGCCTCAAGTGATTCTCCCATCTCAACCTCCCCAGTAGCTAGGACTACAGGCACCACCATGCCCAGCTAATTTTTTTTTTTTTTATTTAATTTTTTGTAGAGATAAGGTCTTGCCATATTGCCCAGGCTGGTCTCAAACTTCTGGCCTCAAGTTATCCTTCTACCTAGGCCTCCTAAATTGTTGGGATTACAGGCATGAGCCACCATACCAGTCCTGAGCCACACTGTGCCCAGCCCGCGTCTTTAGTCATAACTATGGTCATTCACATATACTCCTACCTTTTTAAAAAAAAAAAAATCTGATCCTCTTTTGTATTATTATATTTTTGCAACTCCTGTTTTTTAAAGGCAACAGGCAAGGTTGTTGTTAGCTGTGGTTACTTACTTTGGCATTAAGATTTATTTTTACTCTTTTCTTTAGGAATCTATGGGCAAAAGTTCAGATGGAAAGTCCTATGTTATTACTGGGAGCTGGAATCCAAAATCCCCACATTTTCAAGTCGTAAATGAAGAAACTCCTAAAGGTGATGCATATTGCAGACATCATTAACAGAAACATTAGTGCCAAGAAGATACCCAAACCTTAGGACAACTTGCTTGAACAGTATCCAGTGTTTACCTAGTTCTGTTGAATTATTAAATTTGATCTATAAACAAAGTATAATTTTTGCCCACTTATTTTCCCCTTCTCTTCATCTTTCCCTTGGCTTCTTCCCTTTCTTCCTATTTATATACTTATTTATTTACAAGCTCCTAAAGTTTTAATTTTTATAAAGAGATAATCTATGTACACACATGGTTAAAAATCTAAAGGATATATAGAGAAAAGTGAGTCTACTACCGTCCCCAGGTTCCCTCCCCAAAGGGTATCGTTTCTTGGGTAGCGTTTCAGATATTCTGTGCATAAACAAGTTTTTAAAAGATATTCCATATGACATTTAATGGCTGTATAATATTGCATCCTGAAAATGTAATGTTTATTTGCTTATGAGTGCCTCTTATTGAGCATTTTTCCTCTTCATTTTTTTTATTAATAGCAGTATAGATAAATGGATAAAGGTTATAAAAGATTCAAAAGTATAAGATACCATTGTTAACTAAGTTTAAAAGGTGAGAATTCTTTTTGGTGAGAGCGGCATAAAGAAGCCACATGCCAGTTTGGTAAAACAATCTGACAATATGTTTTTTAAGCTTGGAAGCATATATTGCTGTCACTTGCTAATTCCATTTCTAGGAGTCCACCTAAGAAAAGAATATTCAATAGAAAAAATGCTGAAAGTAGCAATTTATCTAATTATTTTAGATGTTTATTGATTGTTTACCTTATGATCTTCTGAAAGTATGTAATAAAAATAATTCTAATAATACAAGCAAATATGTTTCTGTCTTGTTTATTTGCTTCTCCTCCCTCTCTCTCTTTCTAGATAAAGTGCTGTTCATGACCACAGCTGTTGATTTGGTAATAACAGAAGTGCAGGAGCCTGTTCGATTTCTCCTAGAGACAAAAGTCCGTGTTTGCTCACCTAATGAAAGATTATTCTGGCCCTTCAGCAAACGTAGTACTACTGAAAACTTCTTTTTGAAACTAAAACAGGTACTATACTTTTCTATAAATACAGAAAAGGGAATAAGAGAGGATAAATCAGTTCTGTCGCTAATTTATCATTACTCTAAGCTGTCTGATCTTTTAAACAGTCATGCGTTTTAAATACATTAAGAACTTCTTTTAGCATTTCTTTTATGCAGATCTGCTAAAGACATAGTCTCTTAGACTCCTTTTCTGAAAATGTCTGTTTTTCACTTTCATTCCGATAAGATATTTTCACTGGATATAAAATTCTGGGTTGACCTTTTTTTTCTTTCAGCACTTTAAAGATATCTTCATGCATTATTCTGGCTTCCATTGTTTTTGATACTGTTGTTCCTCTGTATGTGTTGTGTCATTTTCCTCTGGCTGCTTTTAAGATTCATTCTTTATCTTTGGTTTTCATACATTTAACTATGATATGACTAGGTGTGGTTTTATTTCTGTTTATGCTGCTTGGGATTTGCAGGGCTTCTTGAATTTTTAAATTTATGGGTTCTTCCCTCCCCCAACCAAACTTGGGGAATATCTGACCTATTGTATCTTTAGCTTTTTTTCTACCCATCTCTCTTTTCTCTTCTAGGATTCCAGTAACACATATTATAGATCTTTTAATATTATTCTGTACATCTCTGAGGCTCTTTTTTTTTTTTTCCAATCTTTTTTCTGTTTTCTTCAGATGGGATATTTTTTAGTAACACGTCTTCTCATTCACTGACATTTTTGTCATCTTTAATCTGCTATTATAGCCATTCAATGAATTTTTTTAAAAGTTTGGATTTTTTGTATGTTTGTTTCTAGAATGTCTGTGTGATTCTATTTTATAGTTTTTGTTTTCTCCTAAGATTTCCTATTCTTTCATTTTGAGCAGGTTTTCTTTTACATCGAACATAATTACAGTGTAGCTACTTTAGAAATTCTTGACTACTAATTCTCATGTATAGTGAATCACATTTTTCTGTGTCTTTATTTGCCTTGTAATTTTGGATTATGTGTTAAACATTTTAAGTGATATATTGTAGAGATTCTGGATTCTGTCATCGTCTTCTGAAGAGTACCAATTTGTTTTCTTTTTACTTTTAAGATCTGGCAATTAATTTGGTCAAAGTCAAACTTCAAACTCTGTCTTCCAGTGACAGCCCCTGAAATCTGTGTTCTATTCTTTTACCTTTTTTTTTTTTTTTTGGTTCCCTGTTGCTTCCATTTTTGCTTTCCTTTATAGCAAAACTCCTTGAAAGAAATCAAGGTCACCAATGACATAAATTGCTAATCTGAACCCTTATCTTACTTGACCTGTCAGCAACATTTTATATAGGTGATTACTCCCTTTTCCTTAAGTATCTACCCCTCTTTCACTTAGTTTTCAGGGCATTTCAAGGTAAACATGTCCAAAAAGGTCTCATTATCTTACCCATCCCAAAATGCTCTACATACCAGCTTTTACTACCTCGTTTCGTGGGCATCTTTTAACAGTTACTCAGGCCAATAATTTTACTCTTTTATTTCTCACAGTCCATATCTAGTTGCTTTCAAAAATATATCTAAAATCTAGCCGGGCGCGGTGGCTCACGCCTGTAATCCTAGCACTTTGGGAGGCTGAGGCGGGCGGATTGCTCAAGGTCAGGAGTTCGAAACCAGCCTGAGCGAGACCCCGTCTCTACCAAAAATAGAAAGAAATTAATTGACCAACTAAAAATATATATATACAAAAAAATTAGCCGGGCATGGTAGCACATGCCTGTAGTCCCAGCTACTCAGGAGGCTGAGGCAGCAGGATAGCTGAGCCCAGGAGATTGAGGTTGCTGTGAGCCAGGCTGACGCCATGGCACTCACTCTAGCCTGGGGAACAAAGTGAGACTCTGTCTCAAAAAAAAAAAAAAAAAAAAAAATATCTAAAATCTAATCATGTTTCACCACCTAGAGTATGTTAATCCTCGTCCGAATCATCATTTTTCACCTAGTTCATTGCAGTAGTCTCTTCACTCATCATGCTGTTTCTATCTTTGCCCTGTTATGATTTCTTTGTGACATAAAAGCCAGATCATATCATGGTCATCAAGGTCAGATCTTATCACGTTTCTGCTCAAAAGCCTCTAACCCTATTTTACTCTGTAAAAGCCAAAGCTCTCATTGTGGCTTACCAGATCCTACCTGATCTGCTGCATGTTATATCATAAACAAATTCCTTTCTTAACTCTTTTTCTCTTAATTGTTCACTCTGCTCTAACCACACTCTTTGGGACTTTATTAATTGTTCCTTCTGCCTAGAATACTCTTCCCCTGTATCCCATTTGCTAATACTCACCTCCTTCAGGTCCTTACTAACTTCCAAGTCTTTGCTTAGGGACGGGTGTGGTGGCTCACACCTGTAATCCTAGCACTCTGGGAGGCCAGGGCAGAAGAATCACTTGAGCTCAGGAGTTCAAGATCAGCCTGAGCAAGAGTGAGACCCTCCCCCCACATCTCTACTAAAAATAGAAAAAACTTGGCAGGCGTGATGGTGAATGCCTGTAGTCCCAGCTACTCAGTAGGCTGACGCTGGAGGATCGCTTGAGCCCAGGAGTTTGAGGTTGCTGTGAGCTAGGCTGACACCATGGCACTGTAGCCTGGGCAACAGAGCAAGACTCTTGTCTCAAAAGAAAAAAAAGTCTTTGCTTAGATTTACTTCTCAACAACTTACTTTGATTACCTTATTTAATATTTCAACTTACCTGCTCTTGTATTGGTGCTGCCAATTCCACTTACCCCTAAATGATTATACCTTTTATTTTTTATCTGGATTTTACCTTCTGATATATCATATAATATATGTATTTTTATATTATTATCTGTTTTAGAATCCTCTACTATGTAAGATTCTTAATTTGTCTTGTTCATCGATTCATTCTAAGTACCTAGAACATAGTACTTCTCAATGAATATTTGTTGAATTGATTTTATTTACATGCAACTTTGATTTTTCCATTATATAAAATTAAAATGTTTTATATGCAGTTACTTGAATATACTTTTTCATATTCCATATTTTTATTTACATAGCAACAAAAATTTTGATTCCAGTGTATCCATGTTTAGCCCTCTTGGGTATATTTAGAAAAAGTAAACTAGCAAAGCAGTAATAGAGATTTCTTTCCAGTGTTGTCTTAAGAGACAGAAAGAAAACCTGAGCCCCAGCACTGTTCTCCCAGCTCTTCAATATGGCAGAGTCATCATCTAGAACTTGGATTTGGAGTCAGAGTACTTGGATCTTATCATTAGCTTTATGACTTTGAGCAAGTTCCTTTAACTCTGAGTCTCAGTTTACTCGGTTGTAAATTGGCAGCAATAATAGACTCTCCATCATAGTGTTATTGTGACATTAAATGAGAAACTATATAGCACACTTGGAATAGTTCCTAGTACCTAGTAAGTTATCCATTCATTTTTGCTATTATTATTGAAAGAGACTCTGGAACCTCTGTGGGACACAGGAATAATAAAAATCACTAAATTGTGAAATCAGAAAGGTATTGATTATTTAGATGGAGGATCAGTTCCAGGAAAGAATGCTTCAGAAATTAAACTAATTTGCAAATATCGCTTTAGAAGTTTAGGGAGTTTCCAAAGCACAAGATGGTAAATAGAAATTAAATGTATAATGTTTTACAGTAAAAATTTGTATGTAAAAAAATTCTCTTTGAATTCTGTCTCTTTAATGTTATTTTAGTGAACATAAATAGTATTTCCCTGATCTTGCATTTCCTTTAAGGTATAATGTTATATAACCTTGGGGTCAAAGACTTTGTGAGTTTACAAGAATATTACTTTTGTGATTAAGTCTAAAATAACATATCTTTTTATGGAGATTATTTAATTTTAATGCTATGTAACATTTTAAAATAAATATAATGTTTTATTCTAGCAATTTTTGCTTACTTTTTTAGTTAGACTAAAAATAGCTTGATAGGATAAACTAGCCATAAACATAACTGAGACAGAGCCCAATATACTACTTTAGAGTCATGTGTTAAGATTACAAACTAAACTTAAGCTGAATTCTCACTGTTTTCTTTGCAAAAAGCAAAAGTGTATATGTGGAACCCGGGAGGAGGGCAGGAAATTCCTGATGATAGTTTTTTGTTTTTCTCCTTATTTGGATAAGTCTTTTTGTGTGTTTGGGTGTCGGCTAGAGAGAGGGAAAGGAGATGTAGAGAGGAAATAATTTGAACAACTTTGTGCTGTCTTAGAGCACTTCGAAATTGTTAATCTCATCCCTTGTTAACTTAATAAACCAGGTTTATTTCCTCTTTTATATTTATGACATTAAAAAGTAATAATAGCTACCACTACTTGAGGTCCTATCATGACCATCACTCTGCTAACTACTTGACTTTTTTATCTTATGTAATTTTCACAGTGATGAGGATAAATAGCATTTTCATTTTATAGATGAGGAAACTTAGATCTAAAGATGTTTAATAGATATTATGGGATGTTGTTGAACAAGTTACATATCTAAGCCTTCTAAAAGTCTCAGCCAGGCTCTTTCTGTAGAAACAGGGTACTTTTGTCTTTTTTTTTTCCTATAAGAATACTTTTAGGATTTATTGAAATTAAGCATGAGTCAAAATTTTTCCCCTTCTCAGTTCTCATTAGACTGAAAAGGAAACAATACTACAGAGCATTCTTTATACAACATACAGCATTTCCATTTTTTGCTGCCAGTATACAAAAACAATTATGTAAATATGTTAAGATACATGTTTAAAAATTGATTCTTTTTCTTTTCACTAAAATTATCTGGTGAGTCAGTAACTCCTTTTTAGCCTGGAAGCCTTCCCATCTGTGGGATTGTTATATTAAGATGGCATCGTATTAAAGAAGAAACTTTTAAAATTAGTAGGGAAAGAAATATTGCTTTCTTTCATTTAAATATTCTTATACCATTTACTATAAGGGAAAGAAAATGGTCTAATGACCAGATTTTCCAACAGTGACATAAGGTGAACAAAAGACCAACTAAGCATTCT